TTGGTCTTTCACGTGGAATTCCAGTAAAACTGATTCATGTTTGTGCCGAATACTTTTGCAAGCCACTGTAAAGAAAGCAAAGAGTGATCAAGATGTAAGTCTCATTTAAACCTTTATAGCTAACATTCTATTGTTTTAAAGGTGATTTATTGGACTAAAATGAAACTGAACCTATTTAATGGATTTGTGCAATTTTTATTTCATGGAGAGAGTTAAATTTGTCTGATTAGTGCAAAACATTAGCCAAGCAAAAATAAAGAAACGAGTGAACAAACAAAATAAAAACACTGTCATTACAGTTGACTTGGAAATGGTACGCAATGTCCTCAAACAGCTGCTGGAATATCCCTGTCACACTTCTAAGTAGTGATTTGGACATTACAGCAGTTGAAAAAGCAAACATCTTCGAGGCCACCATTGCAGTGAAAATGCCTCCACACTAGCGTTTTCAGTCGTTTTCACAGAGTTGTGCGTCCACATTGAAACGGTCAGTTGGCCAGAGAGTGCAAAAAATGAGTGTAAACTTCATTTTTTTCTCTTTTCATGTATATCCTACTGTTAAGATGAGTGATTGAAAAAGAAAAACAACAATATTTATAGAGCAAAAAAGAGAAAAAAGATTTCTAAAGGGAACATTTACTGTATTTATTTTTATTCTATTTTATTTGTATTTTCCTCAAATGTCTCTCACATCATTTTATAATGTTGATTCAATTCATTGAGGTTTGTGGGGATATGTTTATGCACAGCTTTCTCAAACCACAATTGCAAACTTACTACAACTTAGCATTACAGTTGGTATGAGATGTTTGTGCTGATATGCCGTAAATAGTTTTCTCTAAACACAGCCCTGCATCATAGCCAAAGATCTCCACTTGTTGCCACATTGTTTTAACCCTTTAAAGCCTGAATCATAAAATAATTGGTAGAAATTATATTTCTGTGAAAATGGTGTTTATTTAATTTTCTTTTGTTTAATTTTGTGTAATTGTTTAAAAATAAATCACATTCCAATCTCTATATATGACATTTAATTTGTATCATATTTGCTTATCTGATTTTTTTTAAATTGCTTAAAAATGTATTGTGCAATTTATTTAGGTTTTTCAGGGGGAAAAATTCCCACTGATGATGTTGAAGTCCCAAAAACCGGGGAAAAACTGTATTTGTCAAATGTAATACACCACGCATTAAAAGGTTAAAAGTCAGTTTAGGATTGATACTCTTCAATCCTAAACTGTGCTTCTATGTTCTTTTTATAGAGAAGAGTTTTTCTTCTGGCAACTCTTAGAAACAAGAGTGGCATCTTCAGCCTTTTTTCAATTGCGCTGTCATGAACTTTAAGATTTGACATGCTAACTGAGGCCTGTAGCCCTGTTTTTTTGCTTTGTGTGTGTGTGTGTTAAACCACATTTGAATATACCAGATGAGCAATAGATGTGTTTGCTGATGATATTTCAATCAAGTGCATCTGATTAGCAGTGCCTGGCTGCTGGAAACAGTAAAGCTGTATGCGGTTTTTCATGGGACTTCATAGAGTCCTATGCAAACATTCCTTTTCACATGATTGTGTGTATCATTGCGATTTCCTGGGGAGAGTGAGGTTAACCTTCTACCCACACATTCTGCATATCTGCAAAACTACTACTGAGCATCAATGCCCAACACTTCCTTCATCTACTTCCGAGTTCCCTATGAACTTTAAACACATTCACTTGCATGTGCTAGGGTTGGGGGCATGCACTGTGGCTGCTACCTGTGACTTCCCTTTTAAATGCCTTGATATGCAGAATATCTGCATATGCAATCTAAGAGGCTGTAATACGTATTACATAGGTGTAACAGTGTAACAGTTCAAAATGTTGTTTGTGTAGACCATTCGTGTCCTCAAGAAGAAAACACAAGCATACATGCTGCTACTACTACTACCAATAGTAACAATAATGTGCAAAATGTTGTAATTTTGAATAATGAATTATAATAGTCTTATAAATGCAGTGTTTACACAGTTAAGCTCCGAAGAGTCGTTATTAAAGTTTGTTCATGGTTTAAATCGCCTGAAACATTTTTTTAAACAACTGGCTTATACCGTCTGTTAGTGTGGAAACAAATAGCTAACTAAGACACACCAAATGTCATGCCTAGAGGCCCTTAAAGAGAGGTTTGTTTTAAGATGTGAAAATTTTGCTCTTAGAAATGGGATGCCATAAGAATACACATGTACACAATCTACGCTATTTGTCTTTTTTTTTTTAAAGTCAATGTTACCTTCACTGATACAGTATTTATACAGAATCTAAGCTGAGGCAGAGGAAATACATTGCACAATAAAGGTCTGTTACACCATCTGTCAGTATACCATCTGATTTGCAAAAACATAACATGGAGAGCAAACACCCAAAACGTCCACCCCATTTGTGAGATATCACCTAGGTGTATGTTGTTTCAGGATGTGGGTTTTGTGGCTTGTGTAGCTTCGACATGAGAGATTGTTTTTTAGTTACTCATAATTGCACCAGTGGTTTTTTTTTTTCCTTTTGCATATCATCCTTTTACATGCATATCTATTTGTATGTGTTATTTAAAAAAATTGCTGCTAAGAGACGAAGGACTTCCTCAAATGTTATATAGATTTACATACCACACTGAAGCTCAGACTCACACTCAAATATACTGCACCATCAACTGACAATCATCAGCCAGATAGAAAGCACAATGAATTTGGGAGTGATGATTTACACCTTGGTTGAAGTGCTTATTGCGGTTAGTTGCTGTCTGGGTAACATGCTGGTCATTTTGGCACTTTGGACCACTAAAAGCATTCAACAGCCAACATTCTGCCTTATTGCATCTCTGGCTATGGCTGATTTTCTGGTTGGATGTGTGGCCATACCATTGGCTGTAGTGGTGGATGGACGGGTGAAGACTTCGTTCAATACGTGTCTCTTCATCAGCTGTGTGGTCATCCTGTTCACCCTCGTTTCAGTTCTGTCTCTGTTGGCTATTTCGCTTGACCGTTTCCTCCGGGTGTATATCCCTCTCAGGTAAGAGTATGGATTAATAAGACACATTTTTAAAAAAAACCAAACTAAAATGACTCATAATTGAATAGTGGACATAGTAATTTAGTAGTAGGAAGTAGTAATTATGGACTTTGTGGTTTATATGGTATGTGTGAATGTGTGTGTGAATGGGTGGATGACTGGATGTGTAAAGCGCTTTGGGGTCCTTAGGGACTAGTAAAGCGCTATACAAATACAGACCATTTACCATTTACCATATCATTTTATCACATCGACCAGTACTTCACTAACGATTTATTTTGTTTAAAAAAAAATCATTTTATGCTATTTTAATTTTTTTTGTGAGACTATTTTATTGTTTTCATTTTTTAATAGGTACAAAAGGATTGCGACACAGGGACACTCCTGTCTTGTGGTGGCAGCATGTTGGATTGTTGCAATCCCTCTCAGCTTTACTCCCATGCTTGGGTGGTACAACCATCAAACCTTGTCTAATTCAGCCAATTCTACAATTGTCTGCCAGTTTATAGCTGTAATTCCCATGTCATACCTGGTTTATTTCAGTTTTTTTTCCCTGAATCTGATACCTCTGTTGGTAATGGCCACGCTGTATACCCATGTTTTCTGTATTATAAAAGGACACCTTCGAGAGAAACCAGGCAGTGGTGCTCAAAAACTGTCTCAGAACTACCTAAGAAAAGAGAAAAAGCTGGCAGGATCACTAGCTCTGGTCTTCGCCCTGTTTGTCCTGTGTTGGCTGCCGCTTCACATAATGAACTGCCTTGTTTATTTTGGTGAGGTGACAAATATACCACCAATAGTTTTATATATAGGTATTATTCTGTCTCATGCTAACTCAGCGGTCAATCCAGTTGTGTATGCATTCAAAATACAAAAAATCAAGAGAGCTTATCTGAAGATCTGGAGAAAGTGTGTTTCACGTGTTGCTGAAAATCAAGAATCCCAGACAAGCCAAATGACAGACAAAAGATCCAGCAGTCACATTGTGTCAAATGACTGAAGGCAGATTTCTGTGTTTTCTTGCCTTTTTGTTCTAATTATAAGGCTGATTTTTTGTTGTCTTTTTTTTCTGATTATATCTTTGACAAAGTATAGATTAGTATATTTTGTTTCATTGACTTGTGTACTTTATTCAAGTATTACTATAAAACAAAGTACTTTTTGTGATATCTGATTGGTTTGTTTTATCGTATTTTAAAATCTCTATGCTGCATCTAGTTTTTTTTTAATACAATATGTAAATTTTGTATTTGCTGCTTTGTTGGTTTTCATGCTTTTTTAAACTATATTGTCTTTAAGATTTTATCTTTGTATTGAAGATTTAAGGAAATCCTTACTCACATCTGGAACTGTGCAGCACAGGAAACAACTGTACGTGCACTTAATTTTGTATTACCAATGCAGATTAAAGCCTAAGAGGAAGTGAGACATTCAACTGACAACTACATTCACGAGCGGTCTCCGAGTTCCACTTTAAAACTTTCGTATCGTGTCAAGCACATTTTTAGTTTGTCCAAGATGGTTATCAGTGCAACCAAATAGTTTATCACATGCTGTGATACAGAGATATATATTTACGAATTTCCTCATTTAAGCAGATAGAAAGGTTTATAGTCGTTCTGTGTTGAACATGTATGTGATTTATCCTGATTATGGAAGAATAATCAACAGTCCATCCCACACTCCCATTTCAGTGTTCACATTAAGTTTTGTAAATTGTTCAAAAAAGCTGGAGCATTGTGTCTGAAAGCACAAGCTGTTTATGAATTGGTTATAAGAGGAATTATAATGCACTTAAAATTTCTCTTTATTATGAAGTTTGCTTCTCTGCAGGAAAACTGGGTCATCTTTTGTAACAAGAAAAGAAAAGAATAGTGCAGATGGCCATAGCGAATGTGACTATGATGCCATTATTTCACAAACAAAAATAACTATAAAAATTTTTTTTTTTAATCAGAGATAACCTCCAGCCCCCCATGACCCTGAATTTGATAAGTGGAAGAGAATGGATTCATGGGTTTCTCATAAATGCGCAGCACAATTTATGCACATTTTCTATTCAAACCTCAAAGCTACTTTCCTAAACCTTTGCAGCTCTGCGAAAATCACAACAAACATAAAGATAATAAACCAAAATTCTTGGTGTTGTTCTAAATGACAATCCATATAGCTCATAAGGATTTAGGAAATATTTATTGAAATGTAAAAGCAAAGAAAAGCAACTTACTGTTAAGAATTTGTGGAAAATATAAAAACAATAATATGTTTTTTTCTTTTTTTTTTTTTTTTTTTACAACAACAGTTAATAAGCCATCATTTCTGTTCAAATGTTGGAACCAAGCAGTCTTTTAAGAGCTAAAAGCACCAATTTCTGGCTATATGAAACTTAAAATAAGACAAAAGTAAGAAAAGAAATTTAGAACATAAAATAAATGCATCAAATGTGGTTCCAAAATAGGTTACACACTAATATGTGATTGTTTTTTACAGTTACACCACAAATTATCATGGTAAACATAATACCTGGTTTGCACTATTATCCTATCATTGATATTTTGTTGTTTGTTATTTGTATTACATGGTTCAAAACACTGATGTCTATATGGAGCCTCATAGAACTGCTAGCATGGCTATGGCCTCACACACTTGTAAAATAATTTGCAAAGAAATTTTTAACATACATGGAGTACAGACTTCTTTTTTTAAAAAAAACTTGCACTTCTAAATGAAGAAAAAAAAAAAGCTCAATTCAGTAATTAAAAGAGGCATTCATATATAGATTAAAAGTCACATTTTAGATATGAAAATAAAGTTCAGCAAGCACTGGACATTTAGTTCTTAAAACAAAGAGGGGAGATATGAAATAAAACCCTCTGTCATGCATTTGGTTAACAAGTGATATGTGGTTTTCATCCTTTCAAGCGTCTTCTGAAAGAAACTCTGAAGCACTTCGCTTAATTTATCCTCATCCATATCTTCGTCAAATTGCACACACTTTTCATAGTCTGTATATGGAATGTAGGAAAGGAAATGACAATAAAATGTTAAAAACTGATTTATATATGCATACTCAAGAGTGACACAGAGTGTGCTGCACCATCATAAAATCATCATGCTGCCCAAAAGACATAAAAACACATTTTTGAAAGAAGAAAGAGGATCATTTTCATCTGTGCTATCTGTTCCTTTTTTTTTTGATTGCTGTAAAAGTCTCACCATGATCAGTGTTGAGGAGTTGGGGTTTAGACCATCCCAGACACTCTGCCTGTGTCTCAAACTCCGTCAGCTCAGCAGCAGAAACAGCTGTTCGTCTACCTGGTGAGGCAGTGAGACATCTGAGATAAAAGGCTTGTGATAATATGATGGATTGTATTGAACCTTGTATTTCTCGCAGCATGCATTTTGCTTGTTGGTTAACTACAACAGGAAATTACAAATTATGAATGGTCTAAAAGCCCCCAGCCCTGCCACCTTACTTAAGAGCAAAAGATGACTTTTATCCTCTTTAGAGACGAGGCAGTCAGGACAGCCAGTTTGCAGCAGCACGCCTGGTTGACCAACTGTGGCATCTGTTGGAATCATTAAAGTCATTTAAAGTATTTAAATGGTAGTAATATATTAAATTGTTATTGAACTACAGCTTGTAGTCAGAGTATATTTAAAAGAAAAACCTCTTACTTTCACTGTCGAGTTCAAATAGGCTGCTGTTTGCATAGAGAAATGTTGTGGTTCCGTTGATACAAACTCCATTCCTACAACATTGATCATTACAGATTTAACACCTGAAAGAACAACTGAGCAATGTTACCATGTTAAATGCTATTAATTTAACTAAAAAACAAAAAATAAAACATTACTTACGCTTTCAAATAAGTAGTATCACCATAGAGGTTTGGTGCGCCCTTAGAAATTATATCCACTGCGCCACTTGGGGAAAATAAAGCACTGACTAATGCTGAAGACAGGCAAAACTCTGTGGACACAGCTATAAAGTACCACCTCCCAGGCAGCTGAAATAAAAGATTTTTTTAATTGATCGATTCATTATTTATTTTGGAAATTCACAAAAAAAAACCCCATTCAGAATATTTCCCTCCATCACATCTCAGAAAAAAAATTGCAAGTTTTAACAGCTGAAACAAAACAAATGTGGAAAGACACTTACATCTGGACGTTGGTCGACTGGCTTTAACAGCTTCTCACAGGCCAGCGATGCAGGCTGGCTTACTGATATGAGACTCAGCAAAACAAGAGCAGCACTCAAAGTCTTCATCCTCACAGATATGATGTGTTCTCTAAAGCCCCTTGTTGGTATCAGCTCTGCCTTAAAATAATATCACCAACCAGTTATTTTTCTGCTTCATCCACCCGCCCCTGTCTGGGTAGCTACAGAACAGATAACCACATGTTAACCCTGATGTTATTTGACCAAGCGGATGTTTATTCGTCAAACATGGTGCAGCAAAATAGTTAGGTTTGCAGAATCACATAACAGAACACTGATATATGAAATCCATGTTCAAAATGTGTTAAATGAATACATTCACAGCTGCAAAATACAGTGAGTGTGTGTGTATGTGTGTGTGTGTTGGGGGGGGATCAGTTATGCTGAAGTTTTTCATATTTATGCAACATCATGCTTTTAAAGGTTGTGTGCTTTAGGAAACTGGAGCAATATTGCATGTTCACAATCCAGGTTAAAAGTCAAAAGCTTTTTTTAAAGTAATGATTTTGGCTAGGAGATTACCCTCAACTGCAGATATAAGCACTTTATTTGCACTTTGTACTTTGTACTCTGTATATTTACTGTAGTCTGTTTAGCCTGTCTAATTTTTACCTAAATACCTTCACTTCAGCCTAAATGTTTTTTTTATTAAGTTATTCTAAAACAACACAATTTTAAAGCATCAACATGATTGAGCTCTATACCCTGATTTGCTGCACATGGAGTCAAAAACACATTACAATTCTCAATGAGTAAGAGCAAACACATTGACTGTAAAGAAAAGAGAAATAACGCAGTGACATTACTAAAGGGAACTGAAGTTGTGTGGCTAGCTGGGGGTTACCACAGCCTATATTTCTCGAGTACCATTTAAGACACTTAAGAGTCAATTACTTTCACATAAAGTATTTACACACATGAAGGCCACTTTACGCAACTGGCTCGGCTCTTCTCCACGCTGGCATAACTTAGTGTTTGCAGCAATCATGTAGTCTAGACAAGGATGCATCATGATAGGAATAACTTTAAGTTATAGACAGATGAGTGAAATATGCTCAGTTAACCACATTTATTATAACAATCCAACCTTGTATGATTATTGCGTATCTAATATACACAATTTCACTCAATAAGATTTGAAGTTCATGTAACCTGTGCGGAAAACTGCTGTCAACCTGTGCCTGGGGAAGCTGTGACTTCATGTTGGCATCAGCACAGTAGACTGGCTTTGAAGGGACTTGTCTGACATTTTGCATGCAGATTACACTGGGAAACTTACAGAATATACTGGGCACACCCAGTCCTGATGGGAGGTGTTGTGTAGTTGAGATGCTGAATGGACTGAAAAGGTTGCACTATGCTGGATACAACTGTCACATAGCAAAGAAAGGAGAGGCCAGTGGGTCCTTGCTCTATATAACTTAGCCTAAAAGAGCTTTCTCTCCCCTTTCTCTGTTTTTCTATGTCTCTGTCTCTGATCTGTGTTTGTCTGCTATTGATGCATGCACTTAATGCACTTAAGGCTTGACATACCCTGGGGTGCTACACTGTTGCTTTGATGTTACTTATGCTTCTTTGGTTGCTAACTCAGTGCTCTTTTGTAATAAACTGCTTTGCAATGAACTTTCACCCATCCACCCACATATGTACATATTAGGGGTTCAACAATACATGTATTGGTATTGAACCGTTCGATACAGTGCTTTCGGTTCGGTACGCATGTGTATCAAACAATACAAAATTTTTAATTTATGTTATCAACTTTTCTTCTGACGATGCTGTCTGTGTTGAGAGCTCAGTGGATCTGCGTTCGACTACTCCGCCTAGGCTGCACTGTGGAGCGCAGATCCACTGAGCGCAGTGCAAGCTAGCGAGACAGAAGTTAAGCTCGTTGCAACATGGCAACTGCCTCAACGCTACCCGAAATCGAGTCTCCCCCACCCTCATTCAGATCTGGCGTTTGGAACTATCTTGGTTTTCATGTTAAGCATGACCCTGATGGTAAGCGCGTCATGGACAAAAGTAAAACAGCATGTCGGATGTGCCACGCAATGCTCAATTACATTGATGGGAACAGTTAGCTAGTTAACTTGTTGACGCTGTCCAGCCCCACGTACGGGGCGATCCGCGGTAACTCGGAGATTTGCCGTGTTGTGGTGTTAACGTCATTTTAACAAGATTAACGCTGACAGCACTAGTGGGAACACAACGAATATGACTGCACATTTATGCTGACATCATCCTAGTGCAAAGACAAGTGGAAGCAGACAAAAA